GATTTCCCCTTGCCCATCAGCTACAGTTCAACTGGGGGCTTCTCAGATCTTCAGCTCCGACTGGTTTTCCATATTTAGAATCCCTATCTATAGGGTACTCTATAGGTATTCTAGATGGCATATGTAACGTATATTGAGGTATTCAACAGGGTATTCCTGGAAAGCCACCGAAAAAGGTAGATAACTGAGGGGGGGTAGCATAAATATATATATATATATGTTATGTTATGTTATCTTATACTATATCATTTGTATTGTACTACATTACAAGTATATACATGTTAAGGATGCACGTAGGTCCCTGAGCCGCCCACACCACTCGGCCGGCTCTGTCGGACACGCGCCTCGGCGAAGCCGGGGCTTCTTCGGAGGGCTCTTCGGGTTTGGGGGATTTGGCAAACAGACGGATTTTAAGAAAGTCGTATGGGTATAGGCTATAGATTGGGTTTAGGGTTTAGGGTTTAGCGTTTAGGGTTTAGGGCTTAAGGTAACAGAAAGAGAAAAGCTTATGGGTAACCGGGTCCTTTTTTTGAGGCTCTAGACAGAATTGAAAAGAGAGAGCTCTGTTGAAACGACCAAGGAACCCTAAGCCCTGGCTCCAAATCTGACACCCAAACAGGGCATCCCCAAAGCCTGCGACCCTACTCCTCCTCAACGTGAGAGCCACGCAAATAGAGATACTGCAAATATGACGATGGCATCCACAAGGGTAAAATGCTGATGAGAATGGTCGTAGTGCGTATGATCAGACTGATCAACAAACGAATCAGAAGAACCGCAGCAGTCATGGCACTAGTACCGTCTCAAGCCCAGCGAAGCCAAGCACCGGGCAAAATGGCAATGTTCCGCTTCCTTGGCAGTTGTCCGTAGAAGTCGTCTGTGGTGAAGGTGAGGAATTTAAGATTGGGATCTACAAACCTAAACCCTAAACCCTAAACCCTAAACCCAGGCTGCTGTTCTGAATGTTCCGAGCTTGGCCGCAGCATGAATCGCAGGGAAGGTCAACACACTGCGGAAAATCTGACGAAACACGACAGCCAGCGCCTGAATCCCGAACAAGGGGAAGCCGAAATACGACCACAAAGAAGTTAATAAGCAAGCAGCAACAGCAAACATCCCGGTGTCAAAGGCCGTGGGCATAGAACGAGTAGCTGCCTAGCTCTTCTGGTCATCAGCAGACGGAAAGTTCCGAAAGCGGAGAGTGGAACCATAACACATAACAGTAGCTGCCCTGCAGACCAAGTATCAGCCGTACGAACCAATTTGGACCCGACGGGTAGTCCTGGCTGGCTCAGATCCTACATCTTGGATTGCCCACATCCTGCACACCCCGTCTAGCCGACCAACCTAGACCCGGAACCCCAATCCCGAGAGTTTTAAACCGTTGCTACAGTACCCCTACACCCTAAACCGTAAACCCCCAAAGCCTGGACCTGAATCTAGCATCCTGAGCGCCTTTTCACGACTGGGGGGGTTGCTACAGTACACGCTTCGGGGGGAGAGGGACCTCGGTTTCGGGCTTCAGGCTGCTACTAGGCTGTTGGATTGAAGACTAGAAGCATCCAGAAGGTTAGCTTGAGGGTTTCGAGTTTCTGGCTGTGGGGTTAAGCTTCAGTGGGTCCAGACCGAACTTCGAATCCAGATTCCCGTTCAGGCTGGATTGCATCATGCACTGCTATACTAGGCTGTGAAAAGGAGCGAGTATTTTTATTGTCTAT